GAAGAAATCATCATTGTTTAAATCTTTGTCTAGTGTGTTTTTGATAATTTTTTCTCAGCCTCTTCTTATTCTAAGGTAATAAAGCCAATCGTCGTCATTTTGGCCAAGCGAATATTAATGAAATAGCTCGACCAATTCGAGGTTGAGGCCGAGCCGGCAATTTAGCTCAGCGATACCATTTATTATTCTGTAAGTGTTTGTGGATAGTTGGGTAAGACATAATCTGGTTTGCCTAAGGAACTCACTAATAAGGGGTTGCACTGGGAACCGAAGCTTGGCTTCTATGACCGATATTAGTGTATAAGAGACGAAGCCCAGTTTGCCCCAGGGTGTGGTGTCTAGCTTGGCTAAGGGGAGGTGGACGTCGTCTGGAATATGGTAGTCTCTTCGAAATTCAGCCATAGCTCCAGGCGAGTCCACTAGGAATCGGTATTTACCCATTAAAATTAAAGATTGTTATGTTTAAATGAGCACGACAGCCTAGCTTGGCGCTGGTGTGACTTTGGATGGCTCGGTTGAGCAAAATTGCCCAGGGGCAAAGTGCAAGGGTGTGCCTGGCCAACCTAGTTAAGTCTGTAAAATGGAAATAAAATGTGTTATGCCCAGATAACTGGATCTGGCTAAGTAAAAAGGCAAAGTAAAATAAACCTAGCTCGGCTATAACGGGTTACAGACCATTTTATAGTTCGGCCATAAAACAGGGCCAACTCAAGGTTTATGGCACGGTTGGTGATCAATGCATTTCTAGTTCGGTCAAGTACTAGCCTAAAGGTCACAAACAAGTGCCTAGTTTAGTCACAGTACAATTTTGTATCAAAGATCATGTTCTAAAGGATATATGTGTGTTTATTTGAGCATGAGGTTTTGGGTTTATGATAATTTGCTCAAACGCTCTAGTGCATATAACACACATATATAGAGGTTAAGTACTGGAAGTATAGAAATGAATAAAAAAGAACATCAGCAAAAGGGAGAAAAATGCATTAGCAACTTACGAGTTTAAAAGCGTAAAGACAAAATCCAACCAGCAAGAGGGAAAATGAAGCGAATGCTATAGTTACTTGGTTTGGGACTAGGGCACATGAGGCACAGGTGTGGAACTCAGAATGTAGGGGAGAGAATATGAATAGTGAGAGTGTTTTATTCAAGAAATGTGTTTTGTATAGACACGAAAACGGTAGGACTTTTCGAACGTTTTTTTTTAATAAATGTGAGACGGCTGTCATAGTACGGAGAAGCATTGGACGTGTGCCACGTGTCCTAGTAAGGACACGGTGTCAGATATGCGGAACAATGGGCTGTGTGACAGGCACGGTTCTAAAAAATCGAGCTACCTAAGGTTAGACGTGTCTATGGTTCAGATATGATGAATATTTTATTTCGGTTGGGTTGCTTTTGGTTCAGTTAGTTGGAATATCTTAGCACGGCTTGAGAAGACTAATCTCAATTATGCACTGTAGATGGAATTAAGAGGCAATTGAGAGGACAATTTATGTGCAAATTGGGCCGAGCTAAGACCATTTGAAATGGACCAAGCTAGGTACACTCTCTTGGTCATTGGTCCGCGTTATGAGTGGAATTGGGAATGGAATAAGCTCGGTCATAGACTGGGCGGTTATTCGTCCTAATGCTTCGACCGAGGTGGTTATATTTGATCCAAGAAGGATCGGGGTGCGATGGTAGTGAGGTACCGAACTAGTTTATCTCAGTCAAATACCGTCTTGGTTGTGTCTGGCGTAGTGTAAGGCCATGCTAGCTCGGTTGAGCTGCTATCGAGCCGAGGTAAGGTGGTTTGAGCCATCTCACTTAGTTGATAGTGAGTAGGGTGTTGTAAGAATAGGTATTATCCTTGGGAGTGTGATTCTTAGGAGGGCTCTGCTAAGGAGAATAAGAGTCCTATTAGGATTATGCCATGCAGAATCTATAAAAGCTCATAACATGACCTATGTACAGGTATCACAATTTCTATTCTCAAATACACAGAGCTTTTGTCTATTGTCTATTTGCTGACTTAGGCATTGGAGAGGTTTTCGGCACACACCCGCTGGCTAGCTCACGTTTGTATTTTCAGGTGACAAAGCGACAACATTATCCCGTGCTTGTACACTAACTTGATCAAACTTGAAGCGACGACATTATTCCATGCTCGACATTATTCAGGTGACAAACTTGATCAACAGGATTATACGAGAAGATTATTCCGTGCTCGTACACTAACCCAACCCACTGTGTTCATCTTTTTCCCAATTTTTTTAAAAAAATAAAGTTTATGAGTTACTTTATAGATTGTTAAAGTCTGATCAAAGTCACAATTTTCATTAGATTCAAAATATCTAAATTGTTCAATTACTCTCTCTTTATATAGACATAGAGATATTTAACTATATGCGAATTGGGTTTGTATAGTTACGGCGCAAAACATACTTATAAGTGGTGGTGCTGGATATATTGGAACTCATATGGTGCTTTAGTTGCTTCTAGGTAAGTATAAGGCGGTGGTGACTGACGAGTAGTAATGGGTGTTGGTTTAAGATTTCAATGTTAAAGAGAGGGATATTTTTGGCAAAAAAGGTTGTGTATTGAGTAAAATTACAAAATTTAAAATTAGTTGGTGTGTGTATTGGGAGATGATGTAAAGTGAGAGGTTTTGGTGTTTGGAAGTAGAATTACCCTTAATATATAAGATGCAACATTTTATTTTATTGACTATTTTAATAAAAAAAATTATTGATTATTTTAGCCAAAATTCAAGTTGTCAAACAAAACTTAAATAGTTTAATTTTACTTTTTTCGAGATCAAATAGACCCAACATGAGTTTGACTTAGGCAAGCAATCTGAGCTCAACTCGAAATTTATTAAGGCTAGGTAAAATATTTAAAATTTGGTATGGGTTTATGCAAAAAATTTAAAATTCTGAATTATATTTGGATGGGTTTAGACAAAAATACTGAATAATCTGAGCAACTCAAAACTCGAATTATATATAAATATATAAAAATATTGAATATACATATAAATTAGAGAGCCACTATTTTCATTATACTTTATACTAAATATACTTATTTCTTTGTCTTTATTATACAAGATTACATTAATACTTTTGAAATTTTGAATTTTTCAAACAGTGTATTTTATGTAAAAAAATATTAATGAAACTATATATAATAAAGGACAAATAAGTTCGTGTATTTTGAGCAAAGTGAAGTGAGAATAACGACTTCCATAAATTATTACGCATAAAATGATATTAAATTAATTTAGATTATTAGATCATATTGAATATGTATTATATACAAAAATAACATAATGTAAAATTTTACTTATTTATTTTTTCTCACAACTGCATATCTTTTACATTATATAAATTATTTTTTTTGATATTATTAATGATTTTATAATAAAAAAATAGTAAATAGTCCAATTTTAACAAATTAATTAACGTTGTTGTACCAAGAAAATTTGAAATTTATATACAATTTGAACAATTTGGATTTAATTCGAGTCAGACTGTCATACAATCTCGAGTTACAGTTCAGGCTTAGGTAGCTCTCAAAAACTACGTGGGTTAGGCTTAAACAACCTCTTAACTCATGAACCCATTTGAATTGCACCCATAGTCTGACTTAATCATTATAAAACCGATCCAAAAAGATTGTAAATTACAATTCCATCCATTTAATTCAATAAATATAATTTTTTTTAGACTATTAAATTAATCAGATTTTCTAATAATTATTTAAGATTAATAGATTCACAAAATTTGATTTCAAAATAAATATGATATGTTAAGGAGTGTTTTAATTTAACTACAGAAAGATATATATATATATATATACTTTTCTTTATTTTTTATTTTTTAAATTAATTTTATAACTAAATAATATATAATTTAAAATTAATATTTTATAAATGGACAAGTCGAGGTGGGTTAGGCTAAAACTCTTTATGCAAAACTCAATTTAAAATTTAAATAAGATAAACAAAAATCGTCAACCTGATTTTATAGATAAATATTTTTTTTAAGTCTTAAAAAATATCGAGCTGAGAGGACAAACGGCCCATAAGCCACCCCCTATACCCTTAGATTTTTCTAATTCATCCCTTAACTATTAATAATTTTTTTAATTTTTTTATTTCTATCCAGTTAGTTCAATTGAATATCATTTTACAAATTAATAATCGTTAAAATATAATTTAGTGGAAATTTTTTTTAAAATTTGAACAATTTAAATTATACAACAAAACATTATTTTTTCTTATTATTTTGAATAAACTACACCTCACAACTAATTTATTGAGTTTTTGTTTGAATAATTTAAGTTTTATAAATTATAAAATTATCTTTTTATCCATCAAATTAAGATTTAACAATTATTAATTTGTACAATCATTTCTAATTTGATTACATATATAGAAATAAAAACCTTTAAGGATTAAATAGGTGAAATCAATAATTTAGAGATTAAAATAGAAAAATTAGTGATAGTTTAAGAAAATAAAAGTGAAATTAATCATGGGAATCAAAATAGTTAATCAACCAAATTACCACATGGGTGAAATCAATTTTTCCTTGCCGCTCTTTAAAGGTCATTCTAAGATTATTTTCAGTAAAAGTTTAGATTGATTGGAAATCAGTAATGACATGATTACATCATATTTGACAAATAATTTATTTTTAAAATTACCTAAATTTTTTTTTAAAAAAACAAACATGATCAAATTATATGACCACCAATCAATTTAAATTTTTACATAATTTTTCTACTCAATTACCCTTACCTATTAAACAATTTGAATTCAAAATGGACCCCAAAGACAAATACAGTTCTCCCTAGGAGGTACAGCAATAACCTAATTCCTTGCATGAAAGTAGCTAACCCACTGACCTATTAAACGATAAAACCGAACTTTTGGCCTTCAATATTTCACTCTCCTCTTTCTATTCCACTGGAAAAGTGAAGAACATATTGATTTGAGATTCAAATAATAATAAAAAAATATGGAGATGATCCATATGCAACTGCCATCAAAGATCAAGATAGTACTGGGTTTTGTTCTGATCTTTATTCGACACTCATCATCTCTATCAATAACCGTAGCCAATATCGAATGCATATCTGAACATGTACTGTATGAAGATGATACTGTATCTGGCAACTTTGTTGTTGCTGATCGCGATGTCTTCTGGAGCGCAGATCATCCGGGGATTGACCTGACTGTAAGATTTTCAATCTTTTCTTTGTATTCCTATAATAAGGTGGTGTTATAATGCATTTTCACGTATAGAAAAAAAATAATAAAAAAACCAAATCAAATATTTGGACAGCATCACGATATATATATATATATATATTTTTAAACCAAAAATGGATCTAATTGGTGATACATCATGCAACCACCCGCTAATTTCACTTACTGGGTGACGTATAGTACATTAAGATTTCAACCTAATACCTCCTTAATGAAATCTGGAGGTATTAAGTTATTCAAGTTCGGCTAACAATCAATTTTTTATACCATAAACATTTGTTGTTGCATGCTTAAGTATATGAAGTTCATTAATTTATTGAGTTTCAATCTCAACTCAATATGGGGGTGTTTGGTAAAGTTTATAAGTTGTTTATTTTAGCTAAGGCCTAGTTTGGGAAGACTAAATAAGTGTACTTTTTGACTTTTTTTGTATTATGTGTAGAAAAAGTAGAGAGGAGATGTTGATTGATTTGACCCAAAAAAGATAAAAAGATGAAATAAGTGCACTTTTTTGGGAGTAGCCAAACTAGGCCTTAATTTAAGTTAAAATATTGTATTTGGTACAACTTAACTCATCAGATTATAGCTTAAATTAAGTAGAAAAATAGCTTTTTCTTGAAGTGGCTGGAGGGGTGCTTTGCAGATTATAGCTTAAGCGAGAAGTTGGTTTGGAGGGGCAAAATTACTTAAATGCCCCTCATTAATTCCGAAATTACCAAATACCCCGTCTATAAACCATATTTTCACGCTATTCACTCTGAGAGAGAGAGAGAGAAAGAGAGAGTGACGATTTCCGGTGAGGGTAGCGATTTCCGGCGAGGGTTGCAGTTACTGCCGTTTTTGGTATCCAAATATTGTTGGAACAATCTTCTATATAAATAAAATAAATAGAAATTAATTCAAACAAAATAAAATAAAACTTACATAATTTATTTTGTTGAACCAAATGAAAAATAAAAGATCAAGTCGAGTGTGTGACACTCTGTCCTTAAGATAGATTCGCCCCGCTACGGTGCTTACGGTTATGTGGCGTCTATCTCCCAGGATACAATGATCTTAACCAATTTGTAATAGCACTCTAAAACAAATTGAACGGCGAACCAAACCTGTGTTCTAACTCTCTGAAATTTATTCTAAAACTAATATGAAGAATAATGCACCAAAGATAAAAGTTGGAAAGCACAAAGGAATTAATTTCAGACTGATTTTTTTTTTTGAATCAAATAACACTGCTGGAATGTTGGTATTTATAGGCACAACAAGTCCTGTCCAAACAAGGGTGAATCTGTCCAACAGATTCAGTTTTGAAAGTAAACAGATGCAACTTGTTTTGAACATATGCTGTTTTGAATTCAAACAAATTATGTCTGTTGCTTCTTGGAACAGTTTTTTCAAACAGTTTGAAAATATGTTCGTTGCTGGACAATGTTTTAAACTGTTGAAACAGTTTTTTAAAAAACTGTTGGAATAGTTTTGAAAGAGGTACAACTTTAGGAAAACAAAAATTTAAATTTAAATTTCAAATTGAAATTGAAATTGAAATTGAAATTGGAAAAATTCAAATAAATTTTTGTCCAAAAAATTAATATTAGAATTGACCCGACCCCCACACCTGAGCCCGGCTCGACCGGACGGCAGCGTGTGCGCGTGTGTGGTGGTTTTTAGCCAAGGTTCTATTTGTCCATAACTCTTCCCTTCTACAAACTTGGGGTGCCCCTTGGAGCCCAACCCAAGTGTTGTAGTCTAGAGTTTAAATACACAAAAAAGCTCTCTTAAAGTTTCAATGTGGGACAACCCATTTCAAGGACACTCACATTTACTATCTTAAATTTCCTATTCCACGAACCCGAAAACGACGTCAACTTCCCATTCACTCATAAATGGTTTTGACGAACCATTTTCACCATGTAATTTGCCACGCGACAAAAAACACTTCACCTCTTCAGATCTACCCCAAAAGACGTTTGGGGCCCACTCAATTTTGGGCTAAAAGTTGGCCCAAAATAAGCCTATATAAACCATTTTTCCAACAAATGCCACGTCTCTTCTCTCTCTCTCTCTCTCTCTCTCTCTTTCGATCGACTTTTCACTGTTGCTTTCACAATTGAAGGGCAAAACCCTAATTGTCGCGATCGATCTCAAACCCTAGAGCCAAAACCCTAGCGCCGTTGGTAGCATCTGAAACCCTAACACGATCAATCTCAAACCCTAGCACCATCTAAAACCCTAGCACGATCAATCTCAAACCCTACATCTGTCGATAACGATCTGAACCCTAGCGCGGTCGATCTCTTCTCTCTCTTCTGCGATCGCTTTCTTCGCGATCTCTTCTCCGTTGGAGAAGAAAGAGGCAACCTCCGGTGATAATGGTGTTGCTCTCTCAACAGCTCTCTCTATGCTCTCGTCGCCGCTGTGCCTGTCGGCGCTAGGGTTTTCTAGATCAATCTCTTTTCTTTTTTTTTGTGTGTGTGTGGAGGTTTTCTGTGTTTTTTTAATAATAAGAAATTTAATGAATAAAAAATAATAATTGATGTTAAATTGACAACTAATTAATTTATAATGAAATAATTTTATACTAATTGACACTAATTAATTTGTAATGAAAAAATGAAAAAAAATACAGTAATTGATACTATTATTAATTTTAGTATTAATTGATGGTAATTAAGCCATTAATTGACACCTAATTCATTTATAATGAAAAAAAAAACTATACTAATTGATACTATTAATAATTTTAGTATTAATTGATACTAATTAAGTCATTAATTGACACTAATTCATTTGTAATGAAAAAATGAAAAAAGTTACGGTGGTACTATATGCACCGATTAGTATACTAATTAGTGTACCAATACTAGTTATAGCATTATTATTAACCACACTCATTAATTACATTACAAATACCAAAAACCTCTTAAATTATGTCACATCATCAATTGATGCACTAGTTAGTACATAAATTGGTGCATATAGCATTATTCAAAAAGTTATACTAATTGATATTATTATTAATTTTAGTATTAATTGATGGTAATCAAGCCATTAATTGACACCTAATTCAATGAAAAAATGAAAAAAAAATTATACTAATTGATACTATTAATAATTTTAGTATTAATTGATGTTAATTAAGCCATTAATTGACAGTAATTAATTTGTAATGAAAAAATGAAAAAAAAATATAGTAATTGATAATATTATTAATTTTAGTATTAATTGATGGTAATTAAGCCATTAATTGGCACCTAATTCATTTATAATGAAAAAAATCATACTAATTGATACTATTAATAATTTTAGTATTAATTGATGCTAATTAAGTCATTAATTGACACTAATTAATTTGTAATGAAAAAATGAAAAAAGTTATACTAATTGATACTATTATTAATTTTAGTATTAATTGATGGAAATTAAGTCATTAATTGACACCTAATTCATTTATAATGAAAAAATGAAAAAAATTATACTAATTGATACTATTATTAATTTTAATATTAATTGATGGTAATTAAGTCATTAATTGACCCCTAATTCATTTATAATGAAAAATGAAAAAAAAAATATACTAATTGATACTATTAATAATTTTAGTATTAATTGATGCTAATTAAGCCATTAATTGACACTAATTAATTTGTAATGAAAAAATGAAAAAAATTATACTAATTGATACTATTATTAATTTTAGTATTAATTGATGCTAATTATATTAACTTTTGTAATACTGATTATATTAATTTTTATTAATGAAATAATTTTTTTAAAATTAAAACTGAAAAAAATGACAAAATAATCATTTTTATATCATATAAGGGCAAAAAGGACAATTACACGGTAAAAAGTTATTTTGCAGCTTATTAACCAAACACTACTCTGCTGATTAAATCCATAATCCCACAGCTGCACCAAACAGGTTAACAATTTATGTTTACAGTTATAAGCCATAATCTGTTAAGCTATAATCTATAATCACTTTTCCATAACTCTACAAAACGGGCCTATGTGAGCTAATGAAAACCCTTCAAAATCAAGCAAGTTAAGCTTGACTGATTTACCATTGCAAAATTTATCTTTCGACCATAAATTATTTCATAGAGGAAAATGAATAAAATTCATGCTTGTGGGAGGAATAATAGGATCAAAATTTTATATTGGTAACTTATTTTTTTGAATAAAATATCTAATATCAATTTTAAGTAATGCTGAAAAAGCCATTACAAACTGCCAATTTAAATCTATCAAGATTGCCGTATTGATACACAAAACATATAAGTAATGTAACCCTTTATGCTCTTTTCATTTTAAACTAAAATAACCAGTATTATAATTTATAATTTAAAAAATACTATCGTTACAAAATTTTGAGTGATTTATATTTTTTTTATTATGCTTGTAGAATATTTTTGTTAGTCATGTTTCAATGTTCATATTTCATGTACATGTTTAACATTCTCCAAAAGTTCAGATTCTTTCATTTTACAATATATACACATTAACGAATCCACCATGTCCTTACATGTTTCTTTTTGCTTTTGTTGTATTTTTGTCATAATTGTATCTTAATTTTTTTTAAATTACCGTGTCCTATATTTTTGCTCCCAAATACGGATTTAGATTATCGCGGTTTCATGAACAATGATGATGATGCAGGTAACATCGCCAGCAGGAAACATAGTGCATTCTGTGAGGGGATCATCAGGGGACAAATTTGATTTCAGGGCCAAACAAAGTGGGATTTACAAATTCTGCTTCCACAACCCTTGGTCTAGTCCTGAGACTATTTCCTTTTACATCCATATTGGACATATTCCTAACGAGCATGATCTAGCTAGAGATGGTAATTACTTCAATTTCTCAATTCAGTACTTTCCCGATCCCATAATATTTTATTAGAAATGTATCCAATGTGCCGTGAAAATTTATTTTAGATATATATAGATCCCATCATCTAAGAATATAATCTAGAACATTAATCAACTTTTTTCTAGATAAATTTATGATCTCTTAGAGCATCAGCATCAGAGTCGCTATAACGACTTTGACGCTGTTGTAGAGAGCCAAACTGTAAATATGTTGATGCATCAGAGTTGCTATGGGCTTCATTCATTTTGATAAAGGTACAGTTCCTCCTCTGATAAAGCGAGAAACTGTTCACAGGGTAATCAATTTTTTATTATATTTTCTTTCATGTGCTTCTTTCTCCCACTAACAAGAACATTATCTCTCATACCACCATTACTGTCAACACTTACCAGAGCCATCACACAAATTTCATTCTCACCATCTTGGAACTGAAGCAAGTGAAGCTGGGGTCGTCCCCTAGGATGTCCCATGAGAAGAAGAAAAATGTTGAAATTTTGCTTAACCGGTCGACCGCCCGGTCGTCCGGCCGGTTGACCACCTTGGCTCCTGTGTTGGGTCTTATTTTATACCTGTTTTAATATCATTTTGCACTCCAAAAATATAGTTAAACACAATGAGCATTTAAAGATTATAATGATTTAATTAAACATTTCCAATTCAATTATAATCCATTTTTCATTACTAAAACAAATAATTAAAAACAGAATACATTTATTTGCCACAAAATAATTTAAACATGACACAAAAAAAAAAATATTTTAATGAAATAAAATTTTAAAATAGAGAGTTTGATGGAATGTGCATATAAAAAAGAGGCTACCTAAAATATAAAAATAAATTTTGAATTTTAATTTGACTCAAAATTTGTTGAGCCTGATGCGAATGCTCTTAGCTTTTCTGTTCTCAATTTTGTTTCCCTGTACTATAACTATAGTACTGAAGTTTTAATTAAGCTTGTGAATGGTATAATGTTTTGGTTTGGGTGGTGGTGGTGTTGGTTTGTGGTGCAGAACATATGGATCCTATTAATGTTAGGATTGCTCAATTGACAGAGGCATTGGAATCTGTTATCACTGAACAAAAGTATTTGAAAGCACGTGATTCTCGCCATCGTTATAGTAAGTTCTATCAGCATTTTTAATTAATATTTTTTTGTCTAATTCGACCCATAACGATACTCAATCACATGAAGTCTAACTTTTTTGTTGGTGAATTTTGTGAGTATATAATATTTGTCATCATCTAATGTATTAGAATGTTCGCTCACGCTTCAAACTAAACACTTGACACACAAAAATAGAGTTTCACTTTCATCACTTTTGTCATATAACATGCACACTTTAACACATAAATTTAGAGAGTCGACAAGAAATATAGAAAATGAGAGTTTAAATATTTGTTAATTTTTGGGTGAATGCAGCAAATGAGAGCACCAGAAAAAGAGTAATAATGTACACAGTAGCAGAGTACGTGGTGTTGGCTGCATCAAGTGGGCTTCAAATTTTATATATTCACCGCCTCTTTAGCAAATCTTTTGCCTACAACAGAGTTTAGACTTCAATGTTTGTTCATTAATTCATACTAATCTACATATACATCTTCACTTATATGTGTAATTTTGAGTCAAGCATATTCCTTTCTTCACTATTATTGCTTAACTTGTTCTACCTGTGCAAAAAATTAATTACAGATAAGATATAATCGTCTCACTTTAAGTCTAAAATTCAAAGGTAAAAATAAAAGGTTGATTTCAAGAAGTTGAGAGGCCAATGCGGCCTACTACAGTCTCATTTTAATAATTCGATCAGTTTATTTTGTAAAACCTTTCATGTATATTATACATTAAGAAAATTAAGTCAATGTAATAATCATAATTTTTTTATTTTATAACGTTTGTGAATGACTTAGATCATCAAAATAGGATATGTGATGGCCCCAAACCTTCACAACTTCTTTCAAATTCTAAGATTTAGGCTTCGTTTGGAAAGTGGGTTGGTTTTTTAGTTGTTTTAGCCTAAGCTAAAAAGTCTCATTTGTGTTAGACTTTTTTGCTTTTTTAATTTTTGTGAGAGAAAAAAAAAATGAAACGATTATGATTTGGATATAACGTTTTACAAAATAGTCTCGTTTGTGTTAGTCTTTTTGGCTTTTTTAATTTTTGCGAGAGAAAAAAGTAAAATGATTATGATTTGGATGTGATATTTTGTCTTATTAACTTTTTAACGTATTTTTTTTTTGTGTGTGTGACTATTTTAGTCTTTTAGCCCCTAAAACCAACATGTTGACTTTTTGCTTTTGGTCTGAGCTAATAAGTCTCGTTTGGGTTAAATTTTTTTATTTTTTTGACTTTTATGAGAGAAAAAGTGAAATAATTTTGTGGCATTTTATTTTATTGATTTTTTAACTTATTTTATCATTTTGTATTTATTTTAACCTTTAGCATCCTAACTCAACATGCCAAATGAGGACTTAAAATATTTGTGTTCAATTTTATAATTAATTTATGTAAATTGTTCTATTTATTTTGTCAGTGAGGGTAATGTAGTGGTTGAGCACAATAAAAAGTGTCCACTACATGCCATCTTTAAAAATAATTGAATTTGTGAAACTCTAGGTGGCATTTGCTCTCTGAAGACACCATATGGCAAAGTGTGATTCAGTATGTCAGCCTAATAGTTGGTTAAGTTTTCATAACATGTTTGTAAAAAAAATTCAAAAATTAGTTTGATAAAAAAAAGATTAAAACTCATTATTTATATATTGTGGGGACATATTTTTTGGGTAGTCCACGTGGCCGAGGTTGTTAGCCGAGGTGCTACATGGGCAGATCATCTTTACCGAGATATTTGGGGCACTGCCGAGGTATTCTGCGGCAATACCGGAATCCGAGATAAGCGGATAAGGGACAAGAGTCCTAGAATGAGAGAAGACTTCAGTTTGGGTAAAGATAAGACGCTTAGAGGGTTTATCCTAATCCTACGGGGAGTCCAAGATTAGCAGTAATCCTAAGTCTATTAGAGCTAGGCTTCTATTGGGACTAGGATTGAGTTTGCTATAAAAGAGAAGCACCCCATGGGTCTAAGGTATGCAATTTGTATTCTGAATAGTGAATTGAGCACTTCTGATATTTTTGAGAGATAACTGACTTGATCGTCGGAGTACCCCCGGGTGGATGAGCCACCGCCGGGATCTCTTCTTTCTGTTGCAGGTCGCTCGGGTTTAGTCTATTCTGCCAGTGTTCTCCAGCTGGGTGCTTGATTGGCAGTGTGGTCGGAAAATCACTCACACACACACACACACACACACACACACACACACACACACACACACACACACACACACACACACACACACACACACACACACACACACACACACACACACACACACACACACACACACACACACACACACACACACACACACACACACACACACACACACACACACACACACACACACACACACACACACACACACACACACACACACACACACACACACACACACACACACACACACACACACACACACACACACACACACACACACACACACACACACACACACACACACACACACACACACACACACACACACACACACACACACACACACACACACACACACACACACACACACACACACACACACACACACACACACACACACACACACACACACACACACACACACACACACACACACACACACACACACACACACACACACACACACACACACACACACACACACACACACACACACACACACACACACACACACACACACACACACACACACACACACACACACACACACACACACACACACACACACACACACACACACACACACACACACACACACACACACACACACACACACACACACACACACACACACACACACACACACACACACACACACACACACACACACACACACACACACACACACACACACACACACACACACACACACACACACACACACACACACACACACACACACACACACACACACACACACACACACACACACACACACACACACACACACACACACACACACACACACACACACACACACACACACACACACACACACACACACACACACACACACACACACACACACACACACACACACACACACACACACACACACACACACACACACACACACACACACACACACACACACACACACACACACACACACACACACACACACACACACACACACACACACACACACACACACACACACACACACACACACACACACACACACACACACACACACACACACACACACACACACACACACACACACACACACACACACACACACACACACACACACACACACACACACACACACACACACACACACACACACACACACACACACACACACACACACACACACACACACACACACACACACACACACACACACACACACACACACACACACACACACACACACACACACACACACACACACACACACACACACACACACACACACACACACACACACACACACACACACACACACACACACACACACACACACACACACACACACACACACACACACACACACACACACACACACACACACACACACACACACACACACACACACACACACACACACACACACACACACACACACACACACACACACACACACACACACACACACACACACACACACACACACACACACACACACACACACACACACACACACACACACACACACACACACACACACACACACACACACACACACACACACACACACACACACACACACACACACACACACACACACACACACACACACACACACACACACACACACACACACACACACACACACACACACACACACACACACACACACACACACACACACACACACACACACACACACACACACACACACACACACACACACACACACACACACACACACACACACACACACACACACACACACACACACACACACACACACACACACACACACACACACACACACACACACACACACACACACACACACACACACACACACACACACACACACACACACACACACACACACACACACACACACACACACACACACACACACACACACACACACACACACACACACACACACACACACACACACACACACACACACACACACACACACACACACACACACACACACACACACACACACACACACACACACACACACACACACACACACACACACACACACACACACACACACACACACACACACACACACACACACACACACACACACACACACACACACACACACACACACACACACACACACACACACACACACACACACACACACACACACACACACACACACACACACACACACACACACACACACACACACACACACACACACACACACACACACACACACACACACACACACACACACACACACACACACACACACACACACACACACACACACACACACACACACACACACACACACACACACACACACACACACACACACACACACACACACACACACACACACACACACACACACACACACACACACACACACACACACACACACACACACACACACACACACACACACACACACACACACACACACACACACACACACACACACACACACACACACACACACACACACACACACACACACACACACACACACACACACACACACACACACACACACACACACACACACACACACACACACACACACACACACACACACACACACACACACACACACACACACACACACACACACACACACACACACACACACACACACACACACACACACACACACACACACACACACACACACACACACACACACACACACACACACACACACACACACACACACACACACACACACACACACACACACACACACACACACACACACACACACACACACACACACACACACACACACACACACACACACACACACACACACACACACACACACACACACACACACACACACACACACACACACACACACACACACACACACACACACACACACACACACACACACACACACACACACACACACACACACACACACACACACACACACACACACACACACACACACACACACACACACACACACACACACACACACACACACACACACACACACACACACACACACACACACACACACACACACACACACACACACACACACACACACACACACACACACACACACACACACACACACACACACACACACACACACACACACACACACACACACACACACACACACACACACACACACACACACACACACACACACACACACACACACACACACACACACACACACACACACACACACACACACACACACACACACACACACACACACACACACACACACACACACACACACACACACACACACACACACACACACACACACACACACACACACACACACAC